GAGTTCATGAGATTTTCACTTGAAATTTTGTAGGGACATTCTTGAATTAGTGTAGATTCGAAAAACTAAATAAAATTTTTTGACCCCAAGAATGGGGGAGGGGTCCCCTTAAATATAGCATCAAAATCGAATATTGCGTTCGGGTGATATTAAAAAATTAAATTTCAGGAGTGTACTGATGTCCCTCATCTTCGAAACTGATTTAAGTTTCAAAGAAATATTACAATGTGTAAAGTTTTGATAGAATCGGTTACCCTTTGAGAGTTATCGTGCGCACCAGCCAACCAGATGCACAGATAGACTGACAATAGTAAATTGACTCCAAACTGTCTGAAATGGAGTTGGTCCAAAGAAACATGGACCTATATAATATTTTGATGAGGCATACTTTTGCCTCATTAACCATAAAGCTGGGGGTATAAATATACAGTATTGGGTACAAAAGAGTTAGCATCAGTCCTTCAATGTCATTGGCAGTTTCTAATAAAATCAGGGTGCCCCGGAACCTCCGAAATTATTTAGTTTTCATACAAAAAATTTATTTTTGCAACCACAATTTTCATATTTGTAATTTTATTGAATTTGATTTCTATTTTGTTGTACTTTATATCGTAGATACACCACTGGTTATGTGGTGTGTGGTGTATGTACATACTGCAAAAACATATACGACATAAAGTAGTATTACATATTTTAAATATAAGCTCAATCTTTGGGTACAGAAGAGTTAGCATTAGTCCTTCAACGTCATTGGCTGTTTCTAAGGAACATAGATTTCCTAAACAACAGGATAATGTAAAGCAGGGTGCCCGGGACCCCTCGAAATAAAATCTTTTCCTACAAAACATTTATTTTTGCAATGAAAATTTTCATATTTGTGGTTTAATAATTTGATTTTTATTTTGTGGCAGTTAATATCGTATAAGTAATGACAGTATGTATACGCCCTGTGGTTAACTGGTGTATTAAATAACGTATACATACTGCCGAAATTAAATATTTTAAATGTGACTAATTTCAGCTATTTCTAACCGAAGTGGCGGGAATTAGCCAGGATTATGACAATAAAGTTATTCTCAATTAATATCCTATTTGCTTTTTAAGTATTTTGATGATCATAGATGCATTTTTAAACGATGTGTTTAATTGGGCAATCCAGGTTCTGGGTTGGCAAATAATTTCTTCGGAGAAAATGTTCTACAGAACTTTTAAAAACTTAAAGGTCTTCAATAATCCGATCATGCTATAGAGGATTTTTTTCACAGACAGACACAGACAGAAGATCTTAAGGAAGTTTGCTATAATCTATAGAGAAATGATTTTTAGGAGGTCCTCTATGAATAATCGAGATCCTCTATAGGAAAAGGGCGTATTAGATGCATTTTTCAAATGATGTTGTCCAGGTTCTGGGTTGTCTATGATATAGCATAGCAAACTAGTCAGATTTTTGATTATGGTAATAAATAGGCATTTCGGGATATACGAGAATATATTATCTCTTGGCAGAATATTTTCATTTTTCGTATTTTACCTTCATATAAATTTGACGCTCTTTTTAGGTATTTTCACGGGTCTTTGCGATTTTATAAGCGAAGTTCCTATAGTTTGGTTGATAAAAAACTTCGAATTCTGTTTTCTACAAATAAGAATCATTGTTGAAGACAATTTACATTAAAGTCCGCGTCCCCTACATAAGGACCCGGTTGGATTATAGGAATTTTGCCCATGGGGGATATAAATTGTTCGACCCAGCCGAACTTAACGATAAATATTTACACTTTAAGGGGACTTCATTCTCGGTTTTATAAATCTATGCTTTTACTTAATTGAATCAATAATTTTAATATATATATATATATAACATATAATGCCTAAAATTTCAAGTGAATATCTCAAATACGATATATTAGCTCCAAACGATGGCATGGGTGATTCTCAAACATTAAACGATAACTTAAAGACTAATAACACTGTGCAACACAAAAAATAATTACCGGTAAATTCCAACAGATTTTGAAAGAGGAGCTAAAACAAGAAGACACGTGTATCGGCGTTTTGAAAGTTTACGTCGGGAGGTAACCTAAAAAGGGAGGACAATATTTCCCCTTTTCTAGAATTTTGATAATTTTCGAATTATGATTTCATGAAATCCTTGCATTTTAGGCATATAGTGTCTTCGGCAATATTACTGATAAAATATCGGGGAATATTTTGCTATACAACTTTAACCCTCTACCGACCCATTGAAGGGGTCTTTTCGATCCCCTTTTCCAGAAGCGGGTTAAAGCTGCTCAGAATATTCTACAGAAATGTTCGCCATAATGTTTTGCTATAAGTTTCAGAATAGACTAAAACTCAAAAATCAGCCTAAACGCTAAAAATCTTAAAATATATATCTTATAGAATAGCATCTGCAAAAAACCTCCCGAGGTCTTCTGGATGTCTTCTACTAAGCCGGACAGAAAACCTTCAAGATGAGGTCTTAATGCAGAAAACGTTTTAAAGGTCTTCTACAGCCAGAAATCCAGAAGAGGCTTTCTTTAAACAGAGTAACTTCCAGAGGTATTCTGTAGCCTGAAGACCTTCAAACCTTTGAAGGTCTTCTATAGATTGTAGAACATTGGGAGGTCTTCTATTGATAGAAGAACCTCAGGAAAGTTTTTTTACACAGAACACCCCCTAAGGGTCTTTTACGGATGGCGGAGATGATAAGTCAAAAACTAATAATCCAATATGTTCCAAATGTTAACAAGTTATTCTCGACCTACATAGTTATCGTATGAACTAGGAAAAATGTAATCTTTATTTTTCAGCCTGGTTTTTGGACGAAAAATTTAATTTTTCTCAATACTATTATTGACTTCAGACATTTTCCTAGGTCTGCCATTTTTCTAATTTTCGAGAGAAATCAATAATCCGTATTCATACCAGAGACAAATATGTACTCATTCCAATTGCGTAGGAATTTTGAGATTCGAAAATTCTAGACGTCTTCTATAGCCTAAATAACTTCTAGAGACCTTATAAAGACAGAATACCGTAGAGGATTTCTGTAGTCAGAAAATTTTTAAGATATTCTCTGTAGCCTGAAGATATTCGCGAGGTCTTTTGAACGTCCTTTTCTTAGCCGTACAAAAAACCTTCAAAGGGTTTCTTAAAGCAGAAAAAACGTTCTAAAGCCAGAAATCATTCTAAAGGCCTTCTATAGCCATCTTCCAGAGGTCTTTTATAGCCAGAAAAACTTTTAGAGAACTTATATAGCCTGAAGATCTTCTGTAGCCATAAGACCTTTCCAAAGGCTTCTAGGCGTCTTATATTGATAGAATACCCTCTGAAGGTTTGATGGAGGTATTCTACACCCATTGGGTGTTTTCTATAGACAGATAACCCTCTGGTCGCCTTCAAGAGATTTTCTGTAGGGGTCCTTCTCCTAGTCTTCTGAGCGTCAATATAAGACGGTTTTCTATAGATGTTTTCTGGAGGAATTGTGCACACTGAAACCCTTTATTTGTTTTCTATAGACAGAAAATCCTCTGGAGGTATTTTATAAATGGAATAACCTCTGAAGATTGTAGAACATCAGGAGGTCTTCTATAGATAGAAGAACCTTAGGAGTTTTTTTTTACACATAATACTCTTTAAGAGTCTTCTACGGAACATTTGAAATTTGATTTGTTATTGCACACATTTTAATAATGTCCATTTTTAAAGCTCTTGAAAATCTATGGCATATAAAATATTATTCAATAGTCTTTGAAATGTTTAATATATTTTTCGAATATTTCCTCGTTACCAATTTACTATCTACTGAAAAATAAAAAAACAACAACAAAGAAAAAATTTATCCAAAATTTGTTGGAGTATATTTGCATTTTAGAAAAAAATGAATATATTGGAAACAAAATAATTTTTCAAACATGGAAATATATAATAATAATTTTTGTTTGTATAAAAAATAAATACAACTCTGCATACACATATGGCAAAAAATAAACTTAAAAATTACAAAAAAAATATATGTATATATTCAGCTCTCAAAACAGAAGAAGAAAACAGGGGTGGAAGGTAAATAAGCCCAAGGAAAAAAATAATCATAATAATGTGAACAAATAATAAATTACAAAAAAAGTAGACTTAAAAAAATAGAAAAATATATAAGCTTATTACAAAGAAAATAAATATAATATTCTGTATATAAATAAATAACAAGAATAGTGATAAATTGAATGCAAACACATTGGACATCGAAAACAACAATAATAAGGAAAATATAACAATTTTTTTCTTTAATTTAAATTAAAATTACTAACAAAAAAATTGCAATTTTCCAAAAAAATAGAGGAAATGAATAAATTAAACGAAACATCAATTCTAAATGTTGAAAACATTTTTAAGCTAAATTAATTTAGAAATAATCTTAAGTATTTCTAAAAAATAGCAAAGAATTATACACAAAAAAAATAAATCATGACAAGCAAAACACGTATTAGACAGGAAGAAAACGGGGGAGGGGGTGTAGGTGGGCAATCCTTTCTCACCCCCCAAATATACGAACTTAAAGGCCCAACTTCTATTGTAACTACAATAACTAAAAATTGAGATCCATAACAAAACTCTTCATCATATTTTCCACAATCTATCTCTCTCTCTTTCTCACTTTCTTTCAGACTCTCAGTAAACAAAATGATGCTGATATGTTTTATAATGCCAATAATGATGATAATGAGATTACTCTTTGGCGAGTGTGTATGTGTGTGTGTGAAATGTATGATTCCTTTGCAAGGATAAAAAAAAAATTCAAAACCTAAACATGTCTTTCACCTTAAAGACTAAGTTAATACTCTCTTTATATACAACAACAAGAAGAAGAAATAAAATCAATAATAAGGCTATAAAAATAATGAGAGAGGATCTCCATTCAATTCTCTCTCTCTCTCTCTCTCTTTGTTCCATTTCATACTTTACTCCCGAGCAACATTTCCTTCAGAGCAATTCTTCTCTTAAAAATGAAAGGCATTTAGAGCAGGAATTTGTTGCTGTTGTTGTTGCTGCTGTTGAGATTGAGTTGATTGTGGTTGTTGTTGTTGTTGCGATGCCGTCTGTGGTAATTGGAAACCAATCTGCGAGGTTTGTTGAGCCTGTGGCTGGCGACGATGATGCTGTTGTTGTTGCTGCTGCGACATTGCATTGAACGATTCCTGTGTTTGTGTCGGAGCCACCGTTGGTTGTGGAGTCTGGCGACAGCTCAATACTGGGCGGGAATTAATCGACGGTAATGATGGTGTCGAAGCATTCGATGCAATTGATGCCGTCGATGTTGCCGGACCAATTCCGACCAATGTTTGTGATTTTGAATTTCTGCTCAGCGGTTTGTGATATTTGACGAGATCGGTTGAATGTTGCCATTCCCAACAGGAGCGACAGAAGTATCTGTGAAGAAGAAGAGAAATAAAGAGAGGAAAGGAGGATTAACAAAACTGGGACTTCTGCAGACAGAAGAACTTCTGGGGACATTCTGTAGCCAGATGACCTATTAGAGAACTTATACGGATAGAAAATATTCCTGAGGACTGAGGATACAGGACATAAAATAAAGCCAGATGGATGACCGTAAGAGGTCTGCAATAGCCTATAAATAATTACATTTTAGAGATCCTATATGAATAAAAGACTTTATTGACATCATTCATATATGAAATGACTTACTAGAGGTCATCTGTAGACCTACCAGACGTCTTCAAAAGTGGCAGAAGATCTTCTAGAGGCCTTCTTCTTAGTAGGACACAAAACCTCCAGAAAAACATCCAGAGGACTTCTATAAAAATAAGACAATTTATACGTCTTTTCTGAACCGAACACCTTATGGAGTATTTTTTAGAGACATAGGTCTACTATAGCTTATTGACAGATGTCTACTTCTAGAGGTCCTTTATGGATAGAAGACCTCACAGAGATCCTCTAAAGAAAAAAAGTCTGCTAGATGTCTTTTCTAGACAGAAATCAGATACCTACCAGATATCTTCAACAGTGACCGAATATCATCCACATGCCTTCTTCATGTTCTTAGCCAGACAGAAAACCTTCTGGAGGATGTCTTACAGCGGAAGATCTTTCAAAGGTCGTCTACAGCCAAAAGTCCTCCTAGAGGTCTACTATAGCTAGAACAATTTTTAAGATGCCTTCTATAGCCAAAATAATGCCCAGAGGTCTTCTGTAGCCTGAAAACCTTCGAGAAGATTTGTTCTGTATCCAGAACGTTTTTTAGGAAATTTTCTGTAGCCCAAAAACTTCCCAAATACGTCTTCTTAAACGTACAGAAAACCTTCAAGATGACTTCATAATGCAGGAGACATTGCAAAGGTCGTCTAGAGCCAAAAGTTCTTTTAGAAGTCTTCTATAACTAGAGTAACTTCAAGAGACCTTCGAGAGATCTTCTGTATCCAGAATGCCTTCAAGAAATTTTCTGTAGTCAGAGTATCTTCCCGAAGTCTTCTGGACGTCAAATATTGATAGAATACTCTCTGCAGGTTTTCTGCAGACTGAAGGCGTCCTTCCCGAATGTTCTGGACATCTTATATTGATAGAATACCCTCTGGAAAAGAACCTCCCCAGGTTTTCTGGACGTCTTCTACTTAGACAAGACAACGTCTTAAACCAGAGTAACTTAAAGAGGTCTCTTGTAGCCTGAAGACCTTCAAGAGATCTTCTGCATCCAGAACGTCTTCAAGAAATGTTCTATAGCCAGAAATCTTCTAGACGTCTTATATGAAGTCTTCTGGACGTCAAATATTGATAGAATACTCTCTGCAGGTTTTCTGCAGACCGAAGACGTCCTTCCCGAAGTCTTCTGGACATCTTATATTGATAGAATACCCTCTGGAAAAGAACCTCCCTAGGTTTTCTGGACGTCTTCTACTTAGACAAGACAACGTCTTAAACCAGAGTAACTTAAAGACGTCTCTTTTAGCCTGAAGACAAGAGATCATTCAAGAGATCTTCTGCAACCAGAACGTCTTCAAGAAATGTTCTATAGCCAGAAATCTTCAAGACGTCTTATATGGAGGTATTCTGCAGACTGAAGACCCATTGGATGTTTTCTGTAGACAGAATACCCTCTGGACGTTTTCAAGAGATTTTTTGAAGGCGTAATATTGATAGAATTATAAAGATGAATACCCTATAGAGTTTTTCTGGAGGTATACTGCACAATGAAACCCTTTGGGTGTTTTCTATAGACGGAAAACCCTCTGGTGGTCTTCTATAGGTGCGAGAACCTCTGAAGGTCTTCTATAGATTGTAGAACAGAAACCCTCTGAGGGTCTTCCATAGATAAGAACCGCTTTAAGGGTATTCAATAGGTAGGAGCCGCTCTAACGGTTTTCCATAGACAGAAGACCATTTGCAAGTTTTCTATAAAAAAGAACCCATTTTATAGACCTTCAGTAGAAGTCATCTGCAAATCTTCTTCTGGAGGTCCATTGTGGGTAGAAAACCTTTTAGACGTCCTCTCTAGAAAAATGTCCTACTAGAGGTATTGTGTAAACATTCGAACTTCAAGAGGTATTCTATAAGAGTCTTAAGTGGACAGAAGGCCTTCTGAAGGTTCTCCTCTACATCTCAGGGTTTCTATAAAGTGAAAACCCTCTAAGGGTCTTCTATAGACAAAGGACCCTCTAATGGGGTCCTCTTCTATTAACAGAAGAACCTTCAAGGATATTCTAAAGACAGAATAATCTCCAAGGATATTCTAAAGACAACATAACCCCCAAGGTTTTCTATAGACATAAGACCCTCCAAGAGTCATCTACAGACAGAAGACCTTCCAGAGCCCTTCATGGTCATTTGTAGACAGAGATCTGGAAGTCTTCTACAGACAGAAGACCACTCTTGGTGACCTTATAAAGACAGAAAACATTCGTTGCTGTTTTCTAGTGACATAATTTTCTGGGGTCTCTTATAGACTGTAGAAGACCCTTGGGGAGTCTTTTGTTTATAGAAGTCATTTAGGTGATCTTCTATAGATTGAATACCCTCTTAGGATCTTCTATGGACAGAGGACCATCTAGGGATCTTCTATGAACAGAAGACTCTTTAAGGGTCTTCTATGGACAGAAGGCCCCCAAAGGTCTGTAGACAGAAGGCTCTCTTAGGGTCTTCTATAGACGGAAGAAAATTTAACGATCTTCAATAGACAGGAGACCCTCGAAGAGGACAACAAAGAATTTGTATGGCTCCAAGTGTGGCGTTTTAAAGATTATTTTCAGAAGGACCCTTAGGACTCCAGGCGTGAATTTATTAAAAACTTTTTCAGAAGGGACTCGAATGGTAAATTTTTAAAGAACATTTGGCGATGTACTCTTATGTTTTCAGAAGGACGTTTATGGTCCGAAGCGTAGATTTTTTAAAGAACATTTGTTGAGGAATATTTTGTTAAGAATATTTTCAGAAGAACTCCTATAGTTCCAGGCGTGGGGTTTTTAATGGATACTTTCAGAAGGACTCTTATAGTTCCAGGCGTGGATTTTTTTATAGAATATTTTCAGAAGGACTCCTTTTGCTACAGGCGTGGATTTTTCTAAAAATATTTTCAAAACGACTCTTATGGCTCCAGGAGTGGATTTTTTAAAGAATATTTTCAGAATGACTCTTATGGCTCCAGGTGTGGATTTTTTAAAGAATATTTTCAGAAGGACTCCTTTTTCTAAAAATATTTTCCAAAGGACTCTTATGGCTCCAGGCGTGGATTTTTTAAAGAATATTTTCAGAAGGACTCCTTTTGCTGCAGGCGTGGATTTTTTTTAAAGAATATTTTCAGAAGGACTCCTTTTGCTGCAGGCGTGGATTTTTTAAAGAATGTTTTCAGAAGGACTCCTTTTGCTGCAGGCGTGGATTTTTCTAAAAATATATTCAAAAGGACTCTTATGGCTCCAGGCGTGAATTTTTCTAAAAATATGTTCAAAAGGACTCTTATGGCTACAGGCGTGGATTTTTTAAAGAATATTTTCAGAAGGACTCCTTTTGCTGCGTGACGTGAAATTGATTGAAGTATATTTTAGGAATTGAGATTCTTACCTGAAACAACTCAGCTCTCGACAATAATATGGTCCGTGTTGTACTCCGCATATTGAGCATAGGGAATCTTCAAGATATGGATCTATTTGCACTTTCTTAGTAAATTTCGGTGTACGAATCTCAACGAAGGCGGCCGATATGGCCTTCAAATATGAACGATTGTTATTAAAAGTGACACGTCCGGAACCAATGGGATATTTGTATTTATCCGTGTCGATACCTGGAGAAGAAATAAAAAACAAAATAAATTGTTAATAAATCAAAATATGGGCCAGATTGCCCTTGGGAGGTATGTTACCTGCATACAAAACTCCATCAAAGAGATCATCCATAATTTTGGCCAAACCCTCTGCAGTCAGTTTACCATGCAAGGCTCCGACAAATACCGTTTTGGTTGGGTCCAATTTTTGGGAAGTCGATTTGACATAATTCGAGTCACCAATTAGCCAGGGTATGACTTCAACCTACGAATCAGCAAATAGATATACTCGTATCTTAGCTACATTTTATAGATGATTTTTATGATCCATACTCACATCCTTTGCCTTGATACGCCTGGAGGAGATTTTAAAATAGAAAATACCATCACCATGTTGACGTTCATCAGCCTGGACAGCACAGGCCGAGAGCAGGGCCTTCACTTGTTTATCCGATTCGAATATGATATAAACATAGCCACGAGGCTGTTGGGTACCTTCCTCTTCCTTGCCGGGCCACTCAACCCTAGAAGAGGCGAAGAAATTTTATTTCATAAAAATCTCAAGATGTCATAGTGGGTCCTCACTTTATCTGACCAAATGGCCGGAAGATTTGTATCAACGACTGTTCACTAATGTCCCAGGGAATGCCGCCCAAAAACACCTTGGGCGAAAACTGGTAGAGGCGATGCGAACGCGGTGGCAACTGACCGCTCCATGTACAGGTGGGCTCACAAAATGCTGCCGATCCTCGATAGAATTTAGCTGCTTGATCTAAGGGGGGCTCGGTACCATTAAAATTAAAACCGCTGATAAAATTATTACCGTTATTCAAACGTTGCGGTACCGAATTGGGAACCGTTTGTTGTGGAGGTGGAGCCGCTGGCTGCTGCTGCTGTTGTTGCTGCTGTTGTAATTGCCAGTTTTGAAATTGATTAATGGTATTGTAGGTCTGCAAGAGATTCTGCAACAAAGGCATTTGTTGTTGTTGTGCCTGCCACAGGGTAACAGCGTTTAGGGCCTGTAACTTCGACAACTCCATATCGAAAGCCGAAAGGGCTTCGAAATTTTCCAGATTTTGTTCATCAAAGAGATTTGTAGGATTGCTGATGCTATCAAAATCGGTGTTGAGGAAATCGGAGTGTTGTTGTTGCTGCTGCTGTTTTAGACGCTGTTGGGTTGCGTCCTGTTGAAGAGTCTGCTGTTGTGACTGTTGCTGCTGTGGCAACTGATTTTGCTGATTGTTGGCAGCTACCTTGAGGAATTTCTGAAAAAAAGAGAAAGAAAAGATATTTTGTCAAGGACATTCAGAGCTCTAAGGACCGACAGACATCTAGACGTGGATTTTTTAAAGAAAAATTTTTAATGACATTCAAAGGACTTTCTTAGCTCTAGGCGTGGATTTTTTAAAGAATATTTTCAAAGGACTTTCTTAGCTCTAGGCGTGGATTTTTTAAAGAATATTTTCAAAGGACTTTCTTAGCTCTAGGCGTGGAGTTTTTAAAGAATATGTTCAAAGGACTTTCTTAGCTCTAGGCGTGGATTTTTTAAAGAATATTTTCAAAGGACTTTCTTATCTCTAGGCGTGGATTTTTTAAAGAATATTTTCAAAGGACTTTCTTAGCTCTATGCGTGGATTTTTTAAAGAATATTTTCAAAGGACTTTCTTAGCTCTAGGCGTGGATTTTTTAAAGAATATTTTCAAAGGACTTTCTTAGCTCTAGGCGTGGATTTTTAAAGAATATTTTCAAAGGACTTTCTTAGCTCTAGGCGTGGAGTTTTTAAAGAATATTTTCAAAGGACTTTCTTAGCTCTAGGCGTGGATTTTTTAAAGAATATTTTCAAAGGACTTTCTTAGCTCTAGGCGTGGATTTTTTAAAGAATATTTTCAAAGGACTTTCTTAGCTCTAGGCGTGGATTTTTTAAAGAATATTTTCAAAGGACTTTCTTAGCTCTAGGCGTGGATTTTTTAAAGAATATTTTCAAAGGTCTTTCTTAGCTCTAGGCGTGGATTTTTTAAAGAATATTTTCAAAGGACTTTCTTAGCCCTAGGCGTGGATTTTTTAAAGAATATTTTCAAAAGACTTTCTTAGCTCTAGGCGTGGACTTTTTAAAGAATATTTTCAAAGGACTTTCTTAGCTCTAGGCGTGGATTTTTTAAAGAATATTTTCAAAGGTCTTTCTTAGCTCTAGGCGTGGATTTTTTAAAGAATATTTTCAAAGGACTTTCTTAGCTCTAGGCGTGGATTTTTTAAATAATATTTTCAAAGGACTTTCTTAGCTCTAGGCGTGGATTTTTTAAATAATATTTTCAAAGGACTTTCTTAGCTCTAGTCGTGGATTTTTTAAAGAATATTTTCAATAGACTTTCTTAGCTCTAGGCGTGGATTTTTTAAAGAATATTTTCAAAGGACTTTTATTACTCAAGGCGTGGTTTTTTTAAAGAATATTTTTAAAGGACTTTCTCAGCTCTAGGCGCGGATTTTTTAAAGACTTTTGCGGTCTTCTTTTGGAGGACATACTTACCATCATATCAATTAAATTGTTCTCATTCGACTGATTGCTATTCTGGCTTTCCGGCGATGTAGAACGTGTCGAAGTCAGACCATTGGTATTATAACCATTCTGATACACCATTGGTATAGAGTCCAGGGACAAACCATTGGCTGATGATGAGTTACTGCTATCGCTAAAATATTTGGTATTCAAAGAAGTTAGAAAAAATAAAAAATATATAATTATTTCGAATGCAACAATAAATTGAAAACATTTTCAAAAACGCACACACACATCTACAACTACACATTTGAAATTTAACAAAAAATTACAGAGCATTGCAAATATCTAATCACATTTAAATATATATTTATTTGAAATTAATACTTTTTTATTAAATCCATCATTACCTGACTAAAGGTGAACTTTGAAAAGAGTTATTATAAAGAGATGTAGGCGTACTGGGCGATAAAGGTGCAGAACAATCGAAGCTGATATTTCTTTGGAACACCTTGAGTGGTGTATTTTGTTGTTGGTTGTGTTGTTGTGATGGTGCAATATTGTCAAACTAGAGTTTTTTTGTTGTAATAATTTTTAAGCGGTAGTAGAAGAGAGGGTGACATAAGTTTTAGTAGTAGCAGCAGTAGAGGTGTTGTTGGGAAATTTGGTAGATCAGTAAAGTTCATAAAGCATTACACAGTTGTAGAAGTAGTGGTGGAAAGATGACAGTTATTTTTGTAAAGTAGGAATAGTAAACAGGAAAAAAGAAGATATAAAGAAAAGAAATGAAACAGTAAGTAGGAATTTTTATTATTTTTTGTTAAAAATGTAAATAACATTTGATGAAATAATTATAAGCTGAAGTGGTTTTAATTATTCCCTACACAAGTGTGTTGTCAGGGTAGCATATCTTTGTGCAGCCCCATGAGTTTGTAACGCCTCGAAATATTGGTTCTAGACCCAACTTTATGTGTACCGATCGTCATATCTCGACTATCTGAGTCGATTTAGACATGTCCGTCTGTCTGTCCATTATAATTTGTAAACACGATATAGACCGCAGTTATGGACGAATCTCCACGAAATTTTGCATGTCGGATAGGTTTTGGCCAATGAAGACCCCTATTGTTTTTGGTAAAGATCGGTTAATATTTAGGGGATGAAATACTTTATTATACCCTTCACCACACTGTGGTACAGGGTATTATGTCTTTGTGCATATGTTTGTAACAGGCAAAAGGAAACGAGGTAGACACATGGTTCTTTTTGAGAATATGCATAGAATCACTTTTTAAGTCGATTTATGCATGTTCGATTTATCCGTGTAAAATTGTAAACAAAGTACAACTCGAATTTTTAATTCGAATTGAATGACATTTGGTACATCTCATTTATTTGGACCAAGGACGAACCCTATTGAAATTGGGAAAAATCGGTTCAGATTTAGATATAGCTCCCATATATATTTTCGTCCGATTTAATGTAAATTTGGCATAGCGAACTGAATTAAGTCTAGAACGATTTATGTTAAATTTCGTGAAAATCGGTTCAGATTTAGATATAGCTCCCAGATTTAGATATAGCACGAAATTTCGCAAAGCGTAGTGAATTGAGTCTAAAATGATGTGTGCTCAGTTTCGTGAAAATCGGTTTAACATGGCGAAGTCCAGGCTTATCTTGGTCCCTCTTTCATCTCAATTGTGGACACTGATCTCCCCGCGGTGCCACCTGGGGAGCTATTCTCATCACCTATGAAATAGTGAGCTAATATGTGCCGCGCGTTCACCCATAAGAACTATAAAACAATGGGTTGAGGCGTCGGGTTAGTTGCTCACTCTCGGAAAACCCTGCCTACTATAAAAGAGCTAAGAAAAAGAAAACCAAACAATCCCCCCCCAATGTTGACGACCCCCGCAAACGTATAAAGGACCACGATCTGCGAATCTGCACTTGGAATGTGTACACGTTGTACAGAACAGGCGCAGTTTTCGCCTTGGCGGATGTACTCAAGAAGTACAAAGCCGATAATATTGCCTTACAGGAAATGCGATGGAAAGGGTCTGGCGTAAGTAAATCAGATTATTACGCCCTGTATTATAGCTGCCACGAAACGAAACATGAATTTGGCTGCGGATTTATTGTTAGCAGGAGAATAAAAGACCTCGTCTCCAGATTCACCCCAGCAGATGAACGAATTGCTATAATCCGTATAAAAGCAAAGTTCTTCTACATCAGTCTTATTTGCGCCCATGCCCCGACGGAAGACAAAGATGAACAGACCAAAGACATTTTTTACGAGCGCCTAGAAACAGCATATGAGCCATGACATTAAAATTCTGCTAGGAGATTTTTATGCAAAAATCGGAAGAGAAAATATCTTTGGCCCCACCGTCGTAAAATTCAGCCTCCATGAAGAAACATCAGACAACGGCATGAGGTTGATTGACTTCGCGGCAACAAAAAACATGGTAGTTAGCAGCACCAGATTAAAGTATCTCGATATACACAAGGCCACTTGGATTTCTCCCGATCGAACAACGAGAAATCAAATCGATCATGTTGTGATAGACATTCATCCAGTGTTTTAGACGTCCGATCAATCCGGGGAGCGAATATCGATTCGGACCATTACCTTGTGGCAACCAAGGTTTGCACCGGTATTAATGTAGCAGCAAATGTGCTATCTAATGTAACACGGAAGCTCGACGTCGAAAAGCTGCAAACACAACAGGTAGCCGAGGCCTACTCCGCTCAACTTACCCATCTGCTTGAAGAAAGCACTTCTTGTCCCGATAATAGTATAGAAGCACAATGACAAAGAATTGCCCACTCCCTACAAACTGCAGCAAAAGCAACACTTGGGTACCAAAAACCACCACCAAGAAACCCATGGCACGATCAGGAGTGTCGTAATGCTACTGATGTGAAAAACGCAGTGTATAGGTCAACCCTGCAGACAGTAGCAACACGTAACGTGATGGAGAATTATCAGGAGAAAAGGAGAGAGGAAAAACGTATTTTCAGAAAAAAGAAGAAAGAACAGGAAAAAAGTGAGCGTGAGCAAATCGAGATGTACTGGAGTCAGAATGAAGTCCGAAAATTGTACCAACGAGTAAAACACCAAACCGAAGGCTTTGGTGCAGGCACATCCCCCTTTAGAGATGAAGAAGGAAACCTGGTGACAGATACAGACAGCGTGTTGAGGATCTGGAAAGAGCATTTTGAAAAGCTTATGGTATTAAATAGTGGCGTTGAAGAAGCACCTAGCCAAGATGAGGTCATAAAAGCAATTAATCGGCTCAAGAACAACAAAGCAGCAGGAGCCGATGGGTTACCAGCCGAACTAATCAAGACTGGTGGCCAGATGCTGGTCACAAGCATGCACCAGCTGATTAGTACAATTTGGCTAGATGAATGCATGCCCAATGATTGGAACCTCAGCACCCTGTGTCCCGTGCACAAAAACGGAGACAAGACGATATGTGCCAACTATAGAGGAATAAGTCTCTTTCCCATCGCATATAAAGTGCTATCCAGTGTACTTTGTGAACGATTAAAGCCAATGGTCAATGACATCATCTTCAGACCTGGCAAATCCACCATTGACCAGATTTTCACTCTGCACCAAATCTTGGAAAAGACCCACGAAAAACACATCGACACATACCACCTATTTGTCGACTATAAAGCCGCATTCAACAGCCCTATCCGTTCAGAGGTGCAACATTAATACGGCTATGCAGGATAACTTTAAGTGACACAAGGTCAGAAGTTAAAGTAGGAAAGGACCTATCGGAGCCTTTCAATACCGAACGAGGATTCAGACAAGGTGATAGTTTGTCGTGTGATCTTTTTAACATCTTGCTGGAAAAGGTCATACGATACGCAAAGGTGAACAGAAATGGCACTCTGTACACCAAACAACACATGTTACTCGCCTACGCCGATGACATCGATATAATGGGTCGAACATTGCGTGCGGTAACAGCCACCTTTGAAGGAATTGAGGAGGAGTCTTCTAAAGTGGGCCTGGCAGTAAACGGCGAGAAGACCAAGCTGATGGTATCAACGCGCAAGACATCCAGTAGACTCGGACCAACTGTGGAACTTGAGAACTACAGCTTCGAGGTAGTTAAAGACTATATATAGATTGGTACCGCCATAAATAAAACAAATGACATCAGTTTTGAAATTCGGAGAAGGATTGTGATGGCCAACAGATGCTACTATGGTCTAAGTAAGCAGTTTAGAAACAATGCCACCTCCCGCCAGACCAAACTCACACTTTACAAGACGCTGATACTACCCGTGCTATTATATGGATCAGAAGCATGGGTACTTGCGCAAGCAGATGAGGCAGCTCTTGGGGTGTTTGAAAGAAATTCTCCGAAAGATCTACGGGCCGATCTGCGTCGACGGTGAATATCGGCGTCGAGCTTTACCATTTATACGCGGACATCGACATAGTCAGTCGTATTGAGCTGCAGCGACCACGGTGGCTAGGTCATGTTGTGCGGATGAATGAGAATGCCCCAGCTCAAAAGTCATATAAAAGCGAGCCTACTGATGGTTCCCGTAGAAGGAAAAGGCCACGAATTAAATGGAAAGACCAAGTAGAAAACAACATCTTGGAACGTGGTCTTCCAAATTGGTGGATTTGTGCACAAGACCGACGCGCTTGGAAATCTTTTTTAAGCTCGGCCTTTGGAACAACCGTTCTGTAATAAGCCAGCTAAGTAAGTAAGTACTGAATTGAGTCTAGAATGATGTGTGTTAAGTTTCGTAAAAATCGGTTTAGATTTAAAAATAGCTTTTATATACAGGGTGAAATAAAAAAATTGAAACAAAGTCACGCGCCATAATTTTTAAATTTTATTGAATGAAAGCATAAAATGTCGGAAGTAGCATCAAATTTAAGAATAAGTTTAGATTTGTTCGAATTGGCACGAATTATGGCCTTAAAATGGCCAAACCGTCACACGCTGCCCGAATGTTGCTATGCGGTATTATGACCCATTCCCGGCGAATCCGGCTTAGAAATGACAGCATTCTGAAGTTGGTTGCAGTTTTTTCACCTCACCCGTATATATCCTAATCGATTTGAACAATTTCTTCTATACTGATATAAAAACCGACGAAATTACATATGGAGGTTATTCATATACCAAAGGGTATAAATATTCCATTGGCAATACAAATTTGTATTTATTCCCTTCAGCTTATAATTATTTCATCAACAATTATTGTTTTTTCTCTCTTTCTCTCTCTCTCTCAATTGATATCAAAATGCAACAAAAATGAACAACAAATAAAGTGAATTGAGATTTTTTTGGTTAAGTGCATTTCGAAGTGCTGGTGAAAGGAGAAAAAAATCCAATGCAATTAATTTCGATGGCCAGTGAAGTGAAAGACGGTCGACCATCGTTTACTGTGCAACTTACCTGGAACATATCAAAGGTATTGCCGGTGGTGGTAGTGCCCGGCGATATGGATGATTGTGTGGAACTTGGTGTGAGCGGCATATATGCGGCAGCCAAGGCATTTGCCGCCGTGCCATTACAATTTAAGACATCGATATTGGTTTGCAGAGTTGTGCCATTCGAATTAACTCCGCCTCCTATGATGGCTGTACCAACAGCAGAACGGCCGAGACCATTTGCGCCCACAACACCACAGACTTTGCCAACAACAGCCGATGATGAGGCGGGGTTGCTATTGTTGCTGTTGCCGCCGCCGCCCACGTTGCCTAAATTTAAAATGTTATTTGTCATTGTTGTTGCTGTTGTTGGATTTGTCGAACGATTGTCCAAGCCAAGAAATTCAGCCGTCAATGCAATGGGATCTGAAAGGGAGATAAAAAAAGAGGAAATGTTTTTTTTTCAGTTAAACATTCTGAAACATACATAGGCACACATGAATGTACATATAAGGAGTAAATTAGTTTTCTTGGAGGAGGAGAACATAAGTTCGCAATAAACAAATTCAATATTGTGTAGGAGTGGAGTATTCGTATCATAGAGAATATCAAATGTTATGAAGTAAAGCATGAAACGGATATGATTTTTACATAAACATAAAATATTTCCATATGCAGCAGGAGCAGCAACAGCAGCAGGCAAAAGAAGAAAAAGAAGATAACAACAAGAAACCTATTGGCCATTGCTCAGTGTTGCATGCTCTGTCATCTTGTAAAAGATAACAAACATGCAGAGGATGTGTTCCGAATCGGAAGTAACACTACAATGCCATGTTATCGAGTAAAGTATATCCGATTGGTAAAAATATGTTTTTAGACTCCTACACTCAGTGGCTGCTTATCTCGCTCTCAGTTTATTTTTTTTTTTATTTTGTGAGTAGGACATATTTCCGGTAATTATAAAAATAATCTCAACATTGTTGCCCCTTTTTACTTGCACTTCCTGAATGCAGAATTTACTAGGATGGCTTTTAAAAACATCTTGTTATCGGTCCTGTTTTTTGTACAGGATAATGGGTTTTGTGTTCGTTTTTTCTTCTTCTTATTTGCGCTAGAAAGATTTTCAACAATTTCAATAGGATTCTTCTTTGGCCCAAGTAAATGATTTGTGGTAAAATTTATCACATGCGTATCATGAATGGGATACCGAATGTTACAAACAAATACACACAGACATAGGACCCAATCTGGTATAAAAAATTGCCAGAGATAATGCCAATTTTGATGTAAAATCTCAATGATCTATTTAAAATATTGCCAGTTCTATCGTTATTCAAACAGACTTCGGCCGGGCTGAACTTTGGATACTCTAAACCATAGGTACACTAACAGGTACTTGACATGAAAATTCCAACCCTGCGTGGCGAAAAACTCTTGATATAACAGCAATGGGTAGGATTTTTATACTGTTGTGTCTTATTCTGTTGTGGATAAAAAGTGGACCTGTACAGATGGTTTTTCTAAACGAATATTGTGAATCACTATGCACACGAAATATAAATTTCAGCAACAATAATACCAAAAAGGCGATCAATATTGAATACCTCTGGATGGAAATACCGAAAATAGGGAGGTATAATTTTCGAACCGAGCATTTTAGTTTTGTATATTGATACCTTCACCATGCTAAAGTTAATATGATCGTTTTAGAATAATATACTTTGTAAAATATACTCAGACAATTTCGAGTTCGGAAGAATACAGTTATGGGGCAACACTAACTCACGAAACAAATCGTTTAACTTTTTTTAATATAATGCAGTGAGCGGGTTTCATTTGGTCGGCCAAATGATACCCTACAAAACTACCACTCAAGTCTAAGTTTCTGCGGATATATATTCCGAGCAAGGGCAATATTTCGCCACATTTGTACTCACTTCACAATTATATGTCAACAGCTCCACTATCTAACCCTGGCATATTTTTCAAAACTTGTTTTAACGTAACGCCATAAAATTAACAATTTGATTTGATTGGAACCTCGGAATATAGACATCAGATCCCATCAGTCAGATCCCATTCATCGAAGCTGCTGATTCAATATGACAATTGTCATTGCAGAAAACAATTTGTATGAGTACGTCCCTGGAGGCGGGACCAATATTGATTACATCGTGTGGGAATTACCGAACATCTGTAGTTATATAGTTATACAGCCCTATCCGTTCAGAGGGGTTTAAAGCCATGTCTGCGTTTGGCATTCCTGCAAAATTGTTTCGGCTATGCAGGATAACTTTAACTGACACAAGATCAGCAGTTAAGGTCGGAAAGGACCTATCGGAGCCCCTTAATACCGAACGAGGTTTCAGACAAGGTGACAGTTTGTCGTGTGACTTTTTAACATCCTGCTGGAAAAGATCATACGTTGGGCAAAGTTGAACAGATACTCTGTACACCAAACAACACATGTTAATCGCCTACACCGGTGACATCGTCTTAATGGGTCGAACATTGCGAGCGGTAACAGCTACCTTTGAACACATTGAGAAGGAGTCTGCCAAAAGTGGACAAAGTGGGTCAGTAAACGGCGAGAATACCATGCTGATGGTATCAACGCGCAAGACGTCTAGTTGACTCGGACCAACTGTGGAACTTAAGACCTTCGAGGTAAAAGATTTCATATACCTTGGTACCGCCATAAATAAAACTAATGATATCAGTTTTGAACTTCGGAGAAGGATAGTTTTGACCAACAGATGCTACTATGGTCTAAGTAAGCAGTTTAGAAACAAGGCCAGCTCTCGCCAGACCAAACTCACACTCTACAAGACGCTGATACTACCCGTGCTGTGGATCTGAAGCATGGGTACTTGCGCAAGCAGATGTGGCACCTCTTGGAGTGTTTGAGTGAAAAATTCTCGGAAAATTCTACGGGCTGATCTGCGTCGTCAGTGAATATCGGCGTCAAATGAACCACGAGCTTTACAATCTATACGCGGACATCGACATAGTCAGACGTATTGAGCTGCAGCGACTAGGCTAGGCAATGTTGGACGAATGAATGAGAATGCCCCAGCTCAAAGGGCATATAAAGCGAGCCTACTGATGGTTCACGCAGAAGGTAAAGGCCACGTACAAGACAACCTCTCGGAACGTGGTCTATCAAATTGGAGGAGATGCGTACAAGACCGACGCGCATTGAAATCTTTTTTAAGTAAGTAAGATGTAATTATGCCAAATACAGTAATAGGATAAAATTTGCTAGAGATAGATCCGTATACCTAATTTTTTGAACCGAATTTTCAGATAATTTAGGGTTTCGAATCTTTCTCTCGGAAGTAAATGTTATTACAGTGTATAATGAGATCTATTTATGTTTAATGTTTCAGATGAATCTGATTAGGATACGGTTTACGAAACTCGACATAGAATAAGGATATGTTATATAAAAAAAATCACCTTATGATGGAGGATATAATAAAATCTATCTATGGTGGAACATTACACAGTCGTTGCAGATCGATTAGTGCATTTGTTTAATGGATCTTAAGTACTTTAAAATACATCCACAACTTTGTCCATAAATTCCATAATAATTTTTTAGATGGTGTTTCTATAAAAATTAAAAAAAAAAGAATAGCCAACAAGAAAAACATTTTAAAATTGCTACAAATATTCCTACAATGCTCGAGGATAAAACAGTGGACACATAGTCTAATAGAGTGGGCCACATTCTTTCTACGCTGCAGCTACTACCCACACGCCGAACAAATGCAAGCACATTAACAGCAAAAAAGGAGCACACAAGAAAGAGCATCACATCACATCTTTAAAAGAAGAAAAAAAAAACGTCGAGTCGATAACAGCGGCAGCAGCAGAAAACTATCAAGGAAACTTAAGAAGTTTTATGTTTGTGTGTTTGTGTGAGTTTCGAGATGGATGTATTGGCCAAACGGTACGGTCGGCCGTATGGCCGGCCACACGCTGACGCTATGCCGTCTTCGCCTGCCATTAAATTGCGTTCGAACGCATAAAAGAAAATATGAAAAGAATTCTTTTTTTATGGGCCGCACCAAATAAGTGAATGAGCCAAACGAGCGAGTGAGTGAATGAGTGGCTAAGAAATGGCATTCGTTGCAAAAGAAAGGAGGAATAGGAAAACAACACACACACACACTAAGAAGGACAAGAGACATCGCACTCGTATTGCATATTACTTTAATTTATTAGATGTATTTACTCGAAAAGATACTTAAATAGACAGCGGTAGAGGCAGTAGCAGTAGTCGCCGTCACAACAGCACCCAAGGAAAACTTATGGCAACTACGAACTACTAGAGTAGCCTCCAGCCTCCTCCTCACCATCAGAGAGGCCATTTTCAAATATTCCATATGTTTTGTGACAGAATAACCACAACAACAACAACGATAATAATAACGACAACACCAGTACCACACTATGGGGTACTGATGCTGCTATTGCCGCTAATGCCTCTTTCTCTGATTGGATACTGCACTTTATTTAGTGCTCCCGCCCCAGCCCATTCTTTAACACTGCATTGCAAATATCAACTCCCTAACAAACAAATAATGCCGCCAAACAAACAACAACAAAACTTCTATCTCCCAATCGCAACAAGAAATAAAAATTGCCACACAAGAAAAATAAAAAAAATAAAATAAATCGAAATAGAAATTTATAATTTTTGATTTATTCGTTATTTTGGGCATATTTTATGGAATTAAGTTCGAATGCATGTCGTCTGTTCCAAGTATCTTCTTCGCCGCAGAGTTTATGTGTCTACAGTACGCCTTTGTGTGGACTTGTCTTTAAGTGCATGCGGAATGGCTGTGGCCGCTGATGTTGCTGCTGTCTGTTGCAGAATGTCGATAGTGGTAACAAGGAAAATATGCCCACACTTCTTTTTAACGAAGCATCATTTTAATAACTTCAGGCACTGTAGTATTTTCGACGAATAAATAAAAATTCTATTTTCGGCCCGTCGGAATCGAATTTCAACAATATTATGAAAATCAAAACATTGTGGAAGCAGTTTTGTCCGGAGGGATCAAACCTTCAGTCCGTTAATTTTTGGAATATTGGCTAAAATTAAAATGGTTTATATTTTGCAACCTAGTTTAAATTAGTAGTTTTGGGGGTGGAAGATTTCTTTTTGGAGATGAGATGAGGATGAGAACCACTATGCAGTACAGCGACGTGGCCAGAAATGAAATTTGCAACATCGATTTTTTTCATTTTGTCCTACTACTATTTTCATCAACCATTGAAATAGTGAGCTGATATGTGCCGCGAGTTCACCCATAAGAACTATAAAAAAGTAGGTTGAGGCGTCGGGTTAGTTGCCCATATGTCCTGTTCAGCTCGGCTTAAGCTCGCCGGATGGTGGAGGGGTTCTGGCGACATAC